TGTCAGTTAACTTGTATTAATCTAAAAGTTATTATATATTGTAATATACCTACATTAAAAAAATTTGATAACAAATCTGGATCAGAAATACAATGTGATGCTTCTGAAAAAGCCATTGGTTGTTGTTTAACACAAATGAAAAGTCCTATTCATTTTRCATCTAGATGTTTAAGTGAGATAGAGGTTGCATATGCTCAGGTAGAGAAGGAAATGTTGGCAATTTCTTTTGCCTGTTCAAAATTSCATTCATTAATTTATGGTCAAAAAATAAAAATATATACTGACCATCAACCTCTTGAACTATAATGAAAAAAGATATTCATAAAATACCTAATAATCGTTTAAAAAGACTTAGACTTAAGCTATTAATATATGCGATAGAGTTGTAATATTTACCMGGTCGTTTTATGTATGTTGCTGACCTTCTCAGTAGAAATTATGTAAGAAGAAGTAGTACTGGTAAGGAAGTTTAAGGGATGTAATTCATACTGTGAGTGATATTGAATTAAAATGCAAAAATTCAAAAGAACAAGAGTTTATACACAAAACGCAAAATGATGAAGTACTTGGAAAAGTTAATTTGTAAATTATGAATAAAATTGTATTTCAATATTAATTAATAGCTAATAAATAATGAACTCATGGCCCCTATGCTCCTCCTAAAATCCACCCTGTTATGATCCATTATGTTTAAAAAAGTATGTGTTCACATTTTTTAATTGAAAATTGTTCAATTGTATTAAAAAAAAAAACAAATAATTTATAATTTATAATAAATATTTATATTCTTTAAGTTTAATAATTTATTTAAAATTTAATTACTATATCRCATGATTAATAAGTATCATAAACTATATAAATATTATTTATAAATACAAGTATACCATATAACCAATATAGCCTGTATAGATTAGGTTAGACAACTACACTATGGGTCAGCGAGTACTAGCAAATTGAGACGAAACTTTTGATACAATTTCGGATGGTTTTGAGAGAGACGGGTGAGCTACCTGAAGTTGATCCACCATTAAATAGGGGTGGAAGGAATGACTAGCAAATTTCGGGAATGGACTCACAAATTCTTGCAAATTACTCGAAAATATTGGCATAGATTTTGAATAGATTGTGCGAAGTTGGTGGGCCAACTCCATGGACGTCATTTTCAGCTAAGATTTAAATTTCACGGACGGAAACAAAAAACACTCAAATCTTTAGAAACTTATATAATGAGAAAATTAAAAAGAAATCAAAAAGAAACATCGATGTTAGCTGGTGTTTCTAAAACCGATAAAAGTATTGCATTAATTATAGGTACTGATTACTGTTTACTGACAATATACCTATATTAAAGTCTACAAAATCCAAAACACCAACGATTCAATCACAAAAATTAAATAATCTTTAACGCAGAGAACTTAGCTAACTATCAAAAAGTTATATTAAAATTAAAATTTTGCGTTAATAGATAAAGAAAGAAAATATTAAAAATGAGTTAGACAAGAGCTTAACTATTTAACTTAATTTAACTTAACCTCACTATTTAATTTATATATTGAACATTCATTAAATAATTAATGATAGTTTCAATATTGTGCTAGTACAAATACAAATCTCGCATCACGCARGTGAAGAAGAATTTGGAAACATGCTAACAAAAATAAATGATAGCTGTAAAGAGTATACAATTAAAATTAATGATAACGAAATAAAAATACTAACTTGCAGCAAACAGTCATTGATTTCGGACATTATGATTGAAATGAGAATTTAGAATCTGCAGTTCATCAAAAATGAAACCCGGTGCTGGAGAAGAATACCAAGGGCGTCCGCATGGGGGGGGGGCAAGTAGGGGCATCTGCCCCCCTTGGATTTTTCATGGGTCAATTATCATAACCATTATGTAGTATAAAATATCATAAAATAAATATTTTTTAAATTAAAAAAACATTTTTAAACGTGGAGTGCCACATAGTCGACAAATGTCATGTGGATTTATATGGGTGTATTAACTAYTAAGTCATCGGTTTTCGATGCACTGTTTCGACTTTTATATGTGAATATTTACTATTTAGTAGGACCTCGTGATTTCATTGCCCATTGTTATCATTAATTATAAATATTAAAATACTAATAGTAATTATAATCATTAATCAATGTTGGTATATTTGGATTTTGCGTAGCTATTTTTAGTGGGTAGGTATTAATAATTTTTCTCGAATGACGACGACGGTGACGGCGACGGCGATGTCGAACAATGCAGTGGTGCTATTTCTGATAATAATATTATATATTATTTCGACAAATGGAGTTGACCGTCGGGCGTCGGCGTCGCGGCTCAGTTTTAGCGTGAAAACTTACTATAATAGGTATACGAATAGTGGATACGATATACCCATCATAAATACTGTGYCACTCAGCGTATAAACGTCTACTCAGCTAATCTTTTTATGAGTATATTTTTATATTTTTATTAGTATATTTTGAAGTGTCAAAATACATTTATTAATTTTAAGTTGCACATTAATTAATTAAAACTAATACCTACTGTAAAATTAAGTTCTATACTATACACACTAACTATACACATAATTAATAATTTAATTTTTAAGTTCCCTACTTATATGATAGAAAACACGTCAAAAACAATAAGGAATTATACTATCACTAATCAGATAATGAAACAAAAATTAAAAAATTAAAATACCTTGCCCCCCCCCCCTTGAGAAAATCTTGTGGACGCCCTTGAAGAATACCGAAAATTTCTCGAATAGAGGAAGTCAAAATTCAAAAATTGTACTTAAGAATTAACGAGTGAAAAACATTATGGAAAACAATGAAGAAAACAAGGAAAACAAGGGTCGAACATATGAGAAACAATAAAAGGACAATAGCTGCAATTAACAATTATGGAAGGAATTATAGAGTTTAAAACAGTAAGAGATACAGGTATAAAGCAATTTGTTTATGAAACAGAGCGGAAGTCCATAAAATTCATTGAATCAGTGACGTATTTGAGGCCTCGGTGGGAAGGAATTAGAACATTTACCCGTATAAAATATTTACTTCTACCTTAGGTCAGCACATTTAAAAATGATAGGAAGTCTTATTTTTTAGGCCAATGTCATAATTGATATTTGATAAACAAACAAATTGGTATTTATTTTATTTTTGATTACAGCCTATACCTACAGGCTACTGATCTCCAAATGGAGCAGTTAGGACTTAGCGGAGCTTATACATATTTATAGACACATACTTACTGCATAATAGTACAGCGTAATGTGGTTGCAGGTGACATACCCGTCACCGTTTTCACGTCTATTTAATTTACACGTCAAATCAACTTTCTAATTATAAAATGTAAGTATAACTCCAATTCCAATACCACTATCATAAAAATGAATGGATCATTGATATTACTATATTAGTGTACGCATATATGCTCAATAACAACCTAATAAA